GCTCTCGCGAGCGCGTCGAGGCGCCAACGCGTCGACGAGTGTGCGAAACACGCTACGGCGAGGTTGAATTAAATGCAGTTAAGGACTCTCGGCTTTCGAGGCCGCGCGAGTTCTTCCGCGAGAAACCGCACGCGAGGCTCTTAGGCCTCGCATTATGATTCATATGTGATTATTTTAATACACGTTTCTACAATGCCTGTCTCCCTTTCTTTCTTAGCTGATCATCGTGTAAAATATCCTATATATCTCGACCTCGTCGATAAGCTCGTCTCTCGCTTCGGTTAGTTAGTCTCTCCCCCGCTCAATTTCAAGGGTTCTATTCCGGGGCTCTCTTGCTCGATTGTGTTAAATGAGTCGCGACTTTACGTATGCGTATGCATTTCAGCGTGATGCCCTACTTTCAAGCCAAGCGGAGAGAGAACTTTCAATTGGAATTGACACACGAAAAAAAAAAGACAGATTTAATCACGAAGATCCACTCGTTCTTTATGTATGAAACATAATACGATATTGGATCAGAACGCTTTATAGTGCAAATTTGTCGAAAACCGGGCATTCGGCCAACGGTCACTATATATGCTCGAAATTTTAACTTTAATCCGACGAAATCTAAATTGCGAGAGATTCAAATGGCGACTGGAATAAAATTCACAAGTTTATGAAATATATAAACGTTCGAATAACGAAAAAAAGAGGTGGAACCTTCTAAGAAAAATTTTATTCAAAAATTTAATCAAAGGGCGTGCCGTATATAAATCAAGATCGAAATAATTTGTCATGTGGGAATTGCAAAGAAATTAATAAACTATTAAACTCCCAGACAAAATATCGTTATTAACATCGAATCGGCCATTAATCTCGAACACCTTCTACACAATTGAACCCCTCTGCACATCACGTGCCGTCAAATTTAATTACAAATTACACGATATCACGTGCAAACTACAGTTGCCAGGACATGTCACGCTACCCGGATCATCTTAATGACTTTAAATTAGTGCGTTAATTATGAGATGGAAGTAGAGAGCAGTGCCCGCGTGCAATTACATGGGGGCTGTTTCGGCTGCGGGCTGTAAGAAAAAAAAACGGTCTGGCGTTGTGTAAGTTGACAACGGCGTTACTTACACCGCGCGCCGCGGCGGAGACCTAATTTGCGATAATTCGCTCACGTATACAGTCGCTGTGAGCGGCCGAATTACATTCTAATTATGTAGAGTACCGCGGCGCGCATACCTGACGAAAGTTTCATCAAAGAAACAGCGAACGACATTCCTGCAATAAACCCTGATTAGATTCCAAACTGCATTACGTGGATTACGCAAACGCGCGCGTGCACCTACGCTACCGCATGCATATATTCCCGCGCTTGAATATCAAATCAGGCGCGGTCTATAGTCGTTCGGCTCTCCTTCATTCATTAATTTGCATCTTGCGTTACACCGCGCGCTACACAGCGACGATCTATTAATGATTACCGGCTCATGCAAATGCGGTCCTCGGAGGAATACGTGGAGGCGTCCGGAAAGTTATAGCAGCAAGTCGCATTCATTATTAACACGCACTTGATACTCCCCGTTAATCCGACGGCGCAGTAGACTACCGCGCTAATGCGATAACACCAATCGGAGATTTATGTAACTCAGCAACATTCTCCCCGCGGAGGATTCTGCGAGGAGGAGAGACTTTTTTTTTCTCTTACATCGCAGACACGCCGGAATACGGAACTCTTCCTACGCCCGGTTCTCCTACTACCGGTGATACCGTTACCGCGTCTGTCCGCCGCTGGTTAAAAACTTTTAATGATTTCCCGAAGATTTGTCAGCGTATCCGCGGCGCGGCCCGAGGTACTCGCAGAGATGGATCGCTCGGGCGAAAAATAATTAGCGTTATAACTCAGAAGGGAAAATCGAGAGAGCGAGAGTTGGCGGCCCGGGAGGGCGCGGCTGGTTTGTATCGGCGCTACATGTGATGGATTACAGCGATCAATGAAAGGTTGATCAGTCGGCTGATTGATTAGATAAGTTTCGGCGGTGTAACCGAACGAACCGCCACGCGAGTTCCCGACACTTCGGCCTGTCTTTCGTCTATTTTTCCTCGCAAGTTCTCTCTCTCTCTCTTTCTTTCTACTTTTATCTATCTATCTGTCTATCTCTCATTCTCTTTCCCTCGGCGGCTCCTAGTTCTCTTATTTATTCATGTCGACCATACCCACCCACGACACGCGCTACCAGATCCGCCATTTTCGCGGGTCAAAAACGAGCAACGAAAGTCAGGAGTCACGAGGGAGAAGAAATTAAGGTCGCGACCAAGAGCTGAAATTTTTAGCAGCGTCAATTCTTTCGCTACCCTCTCTTTTTCGCCCCGTACAAATGGAATTTGGAAATTGCGTGAGTCTTCGCCGTGGCGTTCGAGAAAGAAAAGTATAGAGAAGGATCCACAACGTTGCACCGTTCTGGTCCTAGATTCCTCCTAAATATCCCTGGGAAAATTCTCAGATCTTGTATAAATCCTCGCTAAATTTCACACTGTTGTTTTTCGCGATGATTTTGGTGGCACAAAGAGAAATCAATTAGAGGAAAAAAAATTGGCATCTGCAGTTGTACGCCAGAAATTTTCCAATGGAACGTTGCGTATGCGTTTTTGTAGGCGGAACATTTGCAGTAATCTAAATTTCACATTTGTTGTTAAGCAAATGAGGAATTGAATAGATACACGTGCATTCGTTTGCGTATAAAGTAATAAAATTTAAACAAAACCACAAACACGCTCGATTGCTCGAAATCATCTTTGCACTTTTGATTGTTGCATCGAAAGCACGCTGAAATGCATTCGGTAACGGTAGCGATTTACAGATCGTTGCTTTCAAATGTTATTCGCTTTCCGAGCATTCCCGGAATTTTGCAGAATATCCCGTGCGTTACCCTCCGTGAGTCGGGGGTATCAGTAGCGCGTAGATGTTGCTGCCGTTATTCGACGCTGCCAGGCGCTGCGCCGGGCCGAGAAAGCCTGGGAAAATACGCTGCGTCGTCCCCTCGAGGTCATTGATTCTGAACAATTTTCACCTCGCCACGATCTCTCAAGTCGGGCGAAAATTTACGCGGGGGTTCACCCCGGCGAGACCGACAACCGACATCAGGTCGGAATGTTTCCACCTCGCATTCGTGTTCCCTGCAGACGGCGTTTCCAACGGGTCAAAAATGAAAGGGGGAGGAAAAAAAAGAGAAAAGAGAGCGAGAGAAAGAGAGAAGACCGCACCCACCCCGGTGAGCAGGAACGGGCAAGAAATTAAGATCGCAAACCGTGACTGAAACTTTCAGCGCCAGCCGTCCGTGATTCTCCTCTTCGTGTTTTGCTCGCGAAAAGCGCGCGGTCCGGAAACCCCGAGACGCGGCGGTGAACAATGAGTTCCGTCTTTCATTCATGCGAAAATGCCTACGGCTGCATATTTCGCGGTTTAGCCCTAAAGAAACGAGGCTCAATCTACAACACGAGTGCTAAGCATCTTCTAAAAACTTCCTCGTGCTAATTGTTTTCTCGCTGGCGGAAAACGTAGAACGTCAACGTTTAGAGAGAGGATCGAAGACTATTGGCTATTGGTAGCGCAATTCCGTGTCTTGCTATACTACATCTAGACTATATAGACGGTCGCGACGGCTGCGCTTTTGTATTAAGCATTCTTATCGTGCCGCGGCGTCTCCTCCTCGGGAAAGAAGCGATTCGACGCGGTAATGCATCGGCGCGATCCTGAAACGGAGTCGCCTTCTCGCGCCCCCGGGTCCCGTAAATCCTGAACGCAATTAGCAAAGTGACGCGCCAACGTCGCCCATCCGAGTAAACTCGAAACTTCGTCCGTTTACCTGCATCCGTCTTGAAAGTTTCAAAATGCACAGCCAAATACAGCCGAATGGCTGGCGGTTTCGTGCGGAACCTCGGCACTTCCGTCGCGAGCGGCGAGGTTCACAAAGGAGGGGAATGTTCGCGAGAAGGAGAAGCTATTTACTGCGGGCGTCGAGCGCGCGCGCGGCGCAAGAAACCATCGAGTTATAGACAATCGCGCGAGTAAGGCGGGATAAGAAACGCGCCTCCCGCCTCGCGTAGGAAACGATAGTCGGACAGAGAAAATGGAGAGCTGTAGGAGCCGTGGAGGGAGAATATCCCGCTGGATATCTCCATCCGCGCGCTCGCGCGCTTTCCCACCCCTCTCCGTATTTTCCCCTTCGCTCCTTTCCTGCACTATCTGTCCCGTTCCCCATCGCGCGGTGTGTCTTACGCGGCGCGACTTGAGAGGTAATTCCTTTTCGCCCTACATTCGCAAATGGAATATTGGGCGCTCGTTTGTCCGATATACGCTCGTCGATGCGCTCCGCTCCAGCTTCCGTTTCGTTCACTTGAGCTCCACAACAAATCTATCACCAACCGGATTCTCTAATGTGCCCGATATACGTCACCGAGATCGGCGCCCTCGCTGTACTTTCGTCGAAAATTCAAGACTGAGCGTGCAGCTATTTCGGTTTTCTCCAATCCACGTTCCTCCTGTCGCAAAGTCGCGATCTAATTGCACGTGCGCTTGTCCTCTATGCCGGAAGCTCGCAATTCCTGCGTGGCGAACGTAGACACGAGCTACCCTCTCCAATTGGAATCCAATCAGCGGGATACTCCGCCGAGACGAGGCCGCGTCGAAGGGCCGGCGCGACGCGGAAACGCCGCGACGCGATATTATTCATATGCCGGCGACGCGTTTGGCTCGTCACTCCGGACGCAGAGGCAATATAACTTTTTACCCGACCCCTCCGCCCCGACTGCTCCCCGTTCGAACACTCGTCCGTCTGTTCCTCTTTTTTTTTCGCCCTCCGGCCACGGCCACGCGCGGTCGGAAATGACACCGGCACGTAGAAGCGTCGTGCTCTTTACTTTCTCTTTCGACGGGCGCGAAAGCGTTCGACGGCGCGGCGTCCAAAGTCAATCGCGAAAATATGTTAATTTTTTTGTGACAGATGACGTTAGTTTCGAACGCGTAACATTTTATTTTATTCCTGCAACGTTCATTACACTCATTAATTTACACGCAGGAAAACAGAATTATACACCAGAACACGATCCGGTACGGCTTACGAATAATCGACTTGTTACAACATGTTTAGCTCCGCTTAATTAGCTATCGTCATTACGCCAATTAGAACGGGATACGTACGTGCGGTACACATGATCTAATCATTGCGAGATCGTTAGGCCTACATTGACGGAGCTGCAGCCTGCATAACTGAATGATCCGTTTTGCCTAGTCTGGCAGACGCCGCTGCCGCCGCGACGCCGAAGCGCGATTAAATGTAACGTAATATCGCTACCTTACTATCACAACGTCTCGTTAACGACCCTCTTCGTGGAATAATCGATATGTCGTTTACTACGAGAAGATCAAACTAAATGAGACGGGAGGAGAGGAAGGAGGAGGGGAAATCCCAATCGCGGGGATTTTAATAGATACCAATTATAGCTTCGATCCGAATCAATTCGGATTACGAGAATCATTAATCGTGAAATCATAATGGTAATCCTCGACGTAATTTATGACGCGCGCGCGGGGCTTGTCGGTCGTTTCGCGAAAGTTTTTAGTTTCCAGCGTGGATAATAATTGGCTTATATAGATACAGATCCCGGGCCCCTCCCCCCTCCCCGAACTAGTATATCGAGCAACGTATGATGATAAATTAATAAATTCCCGTTAATCGCGGACTTCACGCGCGGGGCACGGCGGCAATTCAATTATCTTATGCTCACCCATGTAGTTTGTATGTATCCCTATGTAACCCACATCTTCCGCGCCATTCCACCATTTTCCAATTATCCCGCAATAATGAGATCTAATACTCCATTATTACAACGTGCCGGCTACTTTATCGCTTAAGGAGGATTAATGACGACGTCCGCGACTACTAATTTTATTATCGCGAGCTAACGAGTGTACCCATTTCGTATCCAGCATCGTATATACGAGGGAAGGGAGGGTGAGGGTGAAGGGAGGGGGAGGGGGGAATTAATCATGTAATCGCCAGGCATCCTCGCGAGAGCATACTTGTAGTAATAATTTCGCAATAACTTCGCCGGGACATAAAGTATCTCTTTGATTAATCGGCGCACGGAGTTGTACAGATCTACAACGTATAAATGAAGAAATGAGTTATTACAACTGGTTTTCTCAATAAACTACTTTTTAGGTTATACCTCTAGTAACTGCCGTTCAATATAATTCAACATCGCATCACAATTGCAGCAAACTGACGCAATTAATTTTCCAGTGAAACTTTTCGAAACTTCTCTCTCTCTCTCTCTCTCTCTCTTTGCCTTTCTCAAAAATGTACTTGTTCCTTTCGTAACTCTTTCTTTGTCTCCGTGTGTCGATGCACGTCAATGTACATACGTAATTACCCTTTAATGGACGTTAACTCGTGAATAAACAAATAATTTAATTCCACCATCATCTGCATATCCTTGCCTTTCATCCCGCAGCGCAGCGACACTGCTGTCGCAAGATGAGTTTAATTGTCTGCAATACAAAATTAAACTGCAGGTCCTCTACGCTTTTTAAATCGACAAACAGTTATCGCGGGGCGCAAAACTGCAATCGCTTGTCATTATTTTGGATTATCGGTTACCGTTAATTGACGGTCGAGCGCAATGTATCGTGCAGTCTGTTCCCGATCGAAACTATTATCGGGTCGACGAATATCACGACGATACCTGTCACGGTGAGAAATAACACGATCGGCCGAATCGAACAAAAGAATTAACGGAAAAACCGTAGGATAGTATCACGCTTCATAAATATCGCTACCCGTAAATCAATTAATTGACATGCCGTGTATATATCGGACTCGCGTTGTAAAATGTTTGCCGGTCGCGCACCGATTGTTCATTATGGAGCACAATGATTGATCGAATGTATGTACAGCAACCGTATCATCGCAATTACATTTTAATGAATAAACAAACAAATAAATTTCTTTCACTGCCCCGCGCGCGAGAGTCGGGAATTTTCTCGTCGGGAATTACCCCTCCAGCTAGATTGTTCGGATTACGTAGCACTAGATTAGTTATCTTAAGATAAGCAAGTTATCGCTAGTTTGGTAACATCCACGTTACCAAACAACAAACAAACTATGACGCTTGCACCCATACCTATTATCCATTAATGCAGAATGCAGAACAGCATAATTAGATGCGCATTAAGCAAACAATTTAGCTCTTGCGCTCGCGCAAATTGGCGCATTGGTGATCTGCATTGAGCAAATAACGTTGTTACTACGCAGGCGCGAAACGTAAAAAATTCATATTTTTTCTACTATCGTCGCGTTCCGTTTTTGCAGCTTTTTTTCCAGTATTGAATTCCGTATCAACAAATATCACGTGAAAGAGAGAGATATTATATAGATAGATAGATAGATAGAAAGAGTACAACAAAATTTCTTCTTACAAAATTTTGATAACCCCAATCGAACAATTTATGCAGTAAATTTTGCAACATTTATTTCGCGACCGGCCATTTTCATTCCCGCGCGGTTTCCCTGTTTTCCCTCGTATCTTCTTATTAGAAATTTTATCTTCGTCTCTTTTTGCATTACGCGTCCTTCTCCGACCGGAGCCGCAGCGGAGTAGTGGGAGGAGCGTGCTGATTGGGAGGCTAATCACGCGCTACTCTCCATTACATTAATTAAAACTTAGCTCTCAACTCTGCTCGGCTTCTACGTCACCTGCCGCGCCATTCGCGTTGTCCCTTTTCTTCCTCTCGTCCCGCTCGCGTCACCCGATGTTCCCGCGATCACTTTGTCTGCGCCCGTTCGTCTATCTATCCACATACGCCACCGCTTGGCGTGTATCGCATTTCCTAAGAAAATCATGCTTGCCTCCCGCGACGTGGATATGAATAAACTATTTAACTCGTTCTGCCACCGACATTACTTAATGAGATCCATTCAATCGAGAGCGCCTTTCTTCTACCATTGTTTAAATTCCTAACATCTCTTTATTAAATATATTTTCACAAAATCGATAGCTAATCACAAATCATTTCTTCAGACAAAACTATTTTTATTTATTAAAAACAATAGTTAACAAAATCGCCGCATACATAATTGAAATTGTGCAATTTTTTTTATGCTTTAATAAGAACAATTTCACGCTCGACGAAGAAAAGTATAATAATGTTAAAATATTGTATGAGTGGAAAGCACCTAGTATAAAAATACTGCTATTAAGATTTGTTTAGTTTGCATTTCCTGTTTGCTACTCTGGTTTTGCCTTCAGGAGTCGTTCCCAAAGGGTCGCACTTTCAAATGGATACCGAATGGAGAATTACTCTCAATTCAACGTCCACCTTATGTCCCCGTGTCCCATTGAGTTTTACAGTCGAGACTTGTTCTCAAATTGCAAAATCCCGAAACTTTAAAGTACCCCACACATTTTCAAACCAGATATTTAACCGAATATCCAAGTATCTCTACTAACAGTTTTTAAGAATATATTGATAAATTTATTTTATATTAGTTTTTGTATATAATTTATTTAATATTAATAAGTTACGAGTTGTGTTAATAATCAACTATATAACCATCGTTTCTGTTTTTGTAATCAGAGTCAATCCGGTAACAAAGGTCGCGAATTCCCCGAAATTATCCCGCGAATTAGAGCCTCGAACAAAAGATCCGCATGCCGCCTGGCAAAACCGCTTTCGTCCATTCGACGAAATCCCTACTCGACCCAATTCGAACGAGCGTCGTATCGGCGAGTGTGTTGCAGGAGGAAAAAGAAAGTATAGAAACGGATCGGAGCGGAATAAATAACGTTCCACCGCGGATAATGGTATTTATTGAATGTACAATTATACATCTCCTATATCGACGAGGCGAATGAATTGTTCTCGCGATTCTATCGCGGATATAGTCCCGCTTTATTTTTCTTTGCTCGTACATTCATCCTCCCGCGGGAGGATCAATAACGGCCGCGAAAAACAACTTCCCGCGCCCGCTAATGTTACGATTATAGCTGTACGTTAATCAAGCCGAACGATCGGCGCAAGAGTGCCCGCGTGACTATACGATATCCGATCTACTGTACTGTCTGTACTATATACAGGACGGGCAGTGATAATAATAGAACGAGACTAACGTGTCTTTCGGATTAGCCGAAGATAGCCGAGAATTATCCTGACTTAGCTCGACTAAAAGTTTAATTCTGAGCTATGAACACTCTACGCCCCGGCCGTAACACCCCGCGTATATAGATATCGCGAATATTATCCGGACCACGATTTAACGTCTTCGACGAGGATATACGAGATAGATGGAGAGCCTACTGTGTGAGGGACGGCCGCCGCGGTGGCAAAATTGGAAAAAGTGCCGATCAAACAAAATTAATTGGGTTCCCGCGGGCTGCAACAAAGCAACTCTCTCGCTTCGGACGAGAACGAGCCGCCGATCCCGAGGTCCTTCTCGGCCGCGAATCATTTCACGGCACGGAACTTTACTATATTCGCGGGTCGGGCCGCGATATATCGCTTTTGTAATTCTATCGCCGGATAAAAGATCGTGTTTGACTAGAAACTACCGCGCAAAAGTATACAGACGGACGGGCGCGCGGTCTATTTCGCCGAAATATAACGTGTGGACCGACGTGCGACGTGCGGATTTTGCGGAAACCGTGTTGGAAATGGAAATATAGGGAAAATTCTGGTTACGGGGAGGCGCGTGATCGAGCCAGCGCGAGGAATGTGTTCTTTTCTATAACGTGATCGAACCTCGGAAACCCGTCGTTCCAATTATTTTTCTATGGTGTCGGTTCATGGGGAAAACATGGCGGTACAATAATCTCGTTATACTACTGAAAAATGTCTCCGAAAATATCGGATAGTCCGCTTCATTAATTTTTCACTCAAAATTTGAAAGGGAGAATGTCTCCTTCTTTCTTAATTCAATGATACTTTTATTAATTTAGCGTCAATGAAAGATTTCGAATCAGACTATCATGTGATTCATAATAGTCAGGTTTTGGATTACTCTATATTTTTATTTTTCATTATCCATGGCATATTGGCGTTTAACTATTAAATATTCATTTATATAATCCATTTTTTTTTGCAAAACGAACTATTTAAAGTTTGAAGGAGGAGCCGTGGAAGTAATTATCGTGCAATAGTTGGCGCTCTGTAACAATCGGGATTGTAACTTACACATGGCTTTTATATAACTAACTGAAAAGCGATGCCTTTTTCACGCGCTGGATCATGGAGTGGAGTTCGTCTCTTCCTTCCCCTCCCTACCCCGACCGTGTTCGTTCATTCGCCTCGGGGCCCTCGGGAGTTATTCGCGAACAGTTTCTATTTAACATTTAGTCATACGCCCGCGTAGGTACTCCACCGACTACGCATTCGTCGTAAATCTTACCACTACACGCGCGAACACGGCCGACGGTGAAGATATACATATATCGATATACGAGCTGCACGCGCGAGCTTCTGCTCTCGGCTCGGTACACGGATCGCCCGTTCTCTTCGATCTCAAAGCCACCCCTGCTCCGGTTTCACGGATGGAATTTCAGGAGAAACGTTTTATACGCCGGGTGCTCTCTCGGCTGGCACGTCGCCTCGAGCGCTTTGTCGGAGGGCAGTTAATTAATAAAAGCTGGAAAGAAGGGGGAGAGCACGGGGGCGCGTATACGGGAGCGACGGGGAGCGCCCGGGCGTTGGTCCGGGGGAGCGATGGGAGAAGGGTGACTAGGAAAAGGGGAACGCGGGAGGAGGGAGAGGAGGGGCGAAGAGACGGGAGGTATAAAACGGAAGGTATAAAAGGATGGAACTATACTATCGTTTCATATCGGCCGGCCGGACCCCCCCCCCTTCCGGTCGCACTTGCAATTCAAACGAGAATGGCACTCACGTGTCGTGAACGAGAAACTTGTCGCCGTTTTTCTCGACGCAGAAGCCCTTGCTGGTGATTTCGGAACCGTTGACGGTCACCAAGTCCGTAATCCCCGACTGGAACCACCGGCCGTACCATTCCTCCGGGAACGTGCAGCCTGAAAACAGAGGGACGGTTACAGAGGGGGGAGGTTTTGCTTCCAGCCGCCTGCGGGCGTTGGGCGATATATATATATATATATATATATATATGTATACATATTGTATACTCGCTCGGTCGGAAAGTTTTCAGATTTTAATCTGAGGACCCGAACCTGCGCGGCGCGCCGACACGTCCGCATCGAAAAACGCAAAACAATCCGAACCCACCGCGGCCGTGGCTACGATATTTTTCAGCCGTTGATCGCGCCCGGCGCGAGCAGCCAGCGGGCTTGTACGCGTCAGGGTTACCGTTCTCCAACAGCGTGCGGCCGCGAGGAAACGTAATGAAACAATTGTAACCGCCGTTTCTCTTTCCTTCTCTCGCCCCCTCCCGCGGAGGACGGAAAATGTCGAGCCCCGCAGGATTATTTTCTCGTTCCCTCGCGAGAGAGAGAGAGAGAGAGAGAAACGCGCGGCGACTGCACGAGCTGAAAAGCCGATGTTTCTCTTCAAAGTCGAGGGAAGAAAATACGTGGCAGTGTAATACTATATCAACGAACGGGGATAATTCCATCCTGTTGTCTATTACACGGGAGATCCCCGCCCGTTAAACTGATTGCGACGGTCTGTATTTATTTCTATGGATTATGTGCAGATGTAGTCAGAGCCCTGTATTGGGATACGTTTATGCG